CTAGCTTTTCGTTTTTTGAAGGGATGTCCAACAAGAGTTAATGCGAGCAATTGAGACATATCTGTCGGGAGGGCAACCGACCAATCAAAGATGGATAAAATTCTGTTCCAAAGGGCAGTAGAKAAGGGGCATGTAAGGAGAGTRTGCCCAATGGATTCGCTTTGYAGCTTGCAAAGAGGACACCAATGAGGAGATAAGGCCATATAGGGCATCCTRCGCTGTAGTTTGTCATGCGTATTTAGAGCTTGTAGGCTGGTTTCCCAAAGGAAAAATTTAATCTTCTTTGGGTAGGAATCCTTCCATATAGCTTTGTACAAATCTGTTGGAGGAGAYGAAGTGTTGTTTCTTTGGAGATCAKTGAGGAGAGAACTGGTAGTGAATGATCCAAGGGGATCCAACCTCCAGGYGWYAGAGTCCCTATTYAGAGAAGGCCTCTGTGAAGAAAGACAGTGTAGGAGAGCTACCRGTTCAATAATCTCARCATCCTTTAGGTTTCTAYGGAAATTAAGATCCCATGAATTTGTTTCAGTAGACCAGAAATCCCTCACAAGACCAAGTTTCCTGGTATGCAAAGCGAAAAGGAGAGGGTAAGTGCGACACAAAGGTTCATCGTTGATCCAAGTGTCTTTCCAAAAACAAGGGGAGGGAGCCCTCTCCCAAGCGRTAGGATATTCTGTCCAAAATCAGAGAATTTAGCTTGGAAATGGCTCTCCATGGACCTCTGGCAGCAGGGAGAGTACGGAGGGGACTGTGATAGTCAACTATGGAGTATTTGGCTTGAATCACTCKTCTCCAAAGAGACGAWTCCTCTGTTATGAACCTCCAATTCCACTTTGCTARTAGAGCTGTATTTTTGGCTTTGATGCTAGTGATTCCCAGACCTCCAAAATCAATAGGTTTCTGCACAGTATCCCATCTAACCAGGTTTTGTCCCTTCTTGTCCATAGACMCCTTCCACAGAAAGTTCCTCACAATTTTATCAAGTTCGTTGGCAACCTTGGTTGGTATGGAGAATAAAGAGAGGAAGTATATGGGGAGATTGGAGAGTGTGGCATTGATAAGGGTGAGTCTGCCTCCTTTGGATATATGATTATGCTCCCAAGAGGAAAGCCTTTTTTTKATTTTCTCCATGAYAGGGTCCCAAAAGGAGGGGGATCGAGGGTTACCATTTAGAGGAAGGCCGAGGTATGTGTTGGGCCAAGAACCCTTTCTGCAGTCAAATCTGACGGCCAATGATTCTWAGACATTGTCTTCCAAGTTAATGCCCATCATCTCTGTTTTCTGTAGGTTGGAGTTTAAACCTGATGCCTCTTCAAAAACCTTTATAAAGTTGAATAAATTCTGGAGTTTACTGTCTTTCGAAGATGAGAAGAGGAGGGTATCATCCGCAAATTGTAGATGAGTGATTTGTATGGGAGGATTACCAACAGCAAAGCCCTCAATCGCGTCAAAATCAGCAGCTTGTGTTAGGAGCCTAAAAACAGTCAACCACAAGAATAAATAAAAACGGGGAGAGGGGATCACCTTGTCTAAGACCCCTAGAAGCCCTAATTTTTCCTTTGGGACGCCCGTTTATGATGATAGAGTAATTGGCCGATGAGATGCAGCCTCTAATCCATTTCCTCCATGTTGTGCCAAAGCCCTTAGCTGAGAGAATACCGTCTAGATAGTCCCAATCAACTTTATCGAAAGCTTTYTCAATATCAAGCTTGATGACTACCCCTTTTTTCTTTTTCCTATTCCATGTGTCAATGATCTCATTTGCAATCAGAGAGGCATCCAAAATCTGTCTGTTAGCCACAAAAGCCGATTGTGTAGCTGAGATTGTATGTGGAAGGACCCTCTTAAGCCTCTCCGAGAGGACTCTAGCTATGATCTTATACATACACGATATCAGACTAATTGGCCGATAGTCACTGACTGTTCTTGCGTCAATCTTCTTAGGTATAAGGCAGATATAGGTCTCGTTAAGGCTAGCATTTATGATCCCATTCTTGAAAAAATCTTGGAACACTCTCATGATATCGGTTTTGAGRATGTTCCAAAATTTTTTATAGAATTCAGCTGTGAAGCCATCAGGTCCAGGGGTTTTGTTTGTACCAAGATCCTTAACAGCTTGCCAAACCTCGGTCTCAAGAAAGGGGGCTTCAAGGAGGGTTGACTGTTGCTGTGAGATGGGGTCCCAATTGATAGGGTGAGGTAGAAATCTGGTGCCATMTTTTTTGGAAAATAGGTTTTTATAAAAGGAGAGGAACTCTGCTTCTATCTCTGTATCATTAACCAAACTCTTACCATCCCTGGATAGCAGCTCAATAATGGAGCTTTTTCTACGTCTGGCAGCAACAACTCTGTGGAAGAATCCAGTGTTCAGGTCTCCCTCTTTAAGCCATTTCAATTTGCATCTCTGTCTCCAATGAGCTTCTTYTGCTATGGCYAAAGAATGTAGCTGATCTTTTAGTGAGATSCTTTGAGCCATTTGCACTGTTTGGATGGAACCTTCCTCTTCAAGGGAGTCTAGGATGTTTAATTCTGTCAGTAGCTGWTCCTTGTGTCGATAAGAACTGTCAATGAAGTTTGCTTTCCAATCTTYTATCACAACTTTGAGGGCTTTGAGYTTTTGGATGAATCCATGACCTGGCCATCCATGAAGAGGATTGTTGTTCCACCAGCCTTCAATCAGGGGCTGGAAAGTTGCTTGCTGCAGCCACTCATTATCGAATCGARAGGGTGTAGGGCCCCAACGGATGGCACCAAGTGCAAGTTGGATAGGGAAGTGATMTGATGTTTCCCTRTTCAATCTCTTAACCATAGCGTTAGGAAAATTAGAAAGGACCAAGTCAGAGCAWAGGTACCTGTCCAATAAYGAGAGATGGGGAGATTCTCGGAAATTAGACCATGTATACAAACCATTGGTGAGRGGGAGGTCCCTYAGGTTGGCTGTGTCAATGAAGTTGTTGAATAATCTCATACTACGGGTGGGGCGGCGATGTGARGATTTTTCATGAACCCATCTTGTGACGTTGAAGTCACCTCCCAGCAGCCATCTTTCAGCACAGAGAAAGGTGAGATTGGCTAATTCATCCYAGAAAAGGCCTCTATCTCTCGYTCTTGGGGGGCCATAAATTCCTGTTAGCCAAAAATGGAAGCCATCARCAAGGGTGATAYGGAGGGTGAGAGAGAAAGCACCTATTTTTATGTCATTGACTTTAATGGCCGGGTCATTCCAGAGGATGATGATGCCACCAGAAGCGCCAATGGAATTTTGGATGGCCAAGCAATGTTCCTCGAGCTCCAGAGAGTTTTGATGAAAAAACGGTCCACTYCCGCGACTTTTGTCTCCTGAAGGATCACTATGGTTGGGTGATGCTTCTGAATGACACTTTTAACATGGGCTCTTTTTTCTTTAGAGCCTATACCCCTCACGTTCCAGGAGATAACATTCATGAGATAACCAAAGACCCTTYCCTTGTGTGCGAAGATGAGGGGCCATCATAGTTGATGGATGAGTAAAGACCAGCTAATTCACGAACGAGTTTAACTTCTTTCTTCTGTTCCTGGGTCTTTTTTGTGGTCTTTGTAGGGAGAGGGAGGATACCAAGACCAATAGTGTTGAGCCAAGGGACTACGACTTGTAGATAAGCCGAGGGGTGTTGCGTACAGTCAATGAATGGCAAGAGGGTTCGGGACTAGGTTGGGCAATGTTTCTGGCGCGAAAAGAGGGGCAGGAGAAGGAAAGGCGGGTGGAGTAGGAGGTGGGAGGGATGCYAGTGAGGAAGGGTAGGGGCTGGAGAGAAAGTTTTCAGAATCAACCTCAGATGGAAGAGGATTTGTGGTCAATTTGGTGCCAGAAACGAGGAAGGTCTTTTTTGATGCAATTTGATGGGTTTTAATGTATCAGATGGAAAAGATGATGGGCTAGGTAATGTGTAGGAGAAGGGAAAGGACTGTGGCAGAGTAGAATCAATTATTGCTTATTTTATATAAGCATGTTTGAAAACGAGTAAAAGAGTAAAGCTATATCCCCTTCCAACCTTGAATGCAGTTAAAGTTGTCGAGATCTATATCCCCTTTTTTACACGATACCATAGAACGAATTGGGTTACTGTATAGTAAGACACAGACAGGATTTATAAAATAAAAAAATAAAAAGGAAAATTATTGCATGTTCGTGCATTCACATCAGATAAAATCTATGAAGTGTGGAGACTTTAATTTTGACACATATGTGTCGTGAGTCTGATATGCGTAGGATATTTCAACTTTCCAATTTTAACTAGAGTAACAATATTCTCGAATAGGATTCTCCATTATTCTCCCTTTTAATAAATTAAAGATTAAAGATATCATGATTATGAATTAAAATAATTGTAACATAAAAAAAAATAAAATGCATAAAAATAGATGTATATGTGTTTCTACATGTTCTTAGTATTTTAGAAAACAACGTGCTCTATCGTCCATGTCTGTGTCTTACTTCTTAGAATATAAAAAGTAACAATAAAGGAAAGAGAGAACTGAAGTTCAGATGTGATACCAATAAACTGCTTAGCTCGTTCTATAAAATTCTCAACTGGAATTGTGTGAATGACTGAAACGTCAAGAAACCCAGTAGATTCCAGATTTGGCCTTAGAACATCAGAAACAACCCACGGATCCATCTCAACAAAGTGCACCTAGAAGTTGCATAAGCAGAAATTATGTGAGAGAGAAAAAAAAAACAGATATAGAGAATAATTGTCACTGCGATGATAATACCATGTATCAAGTCATTCCCTATCTAAATATAGTTCACAAGCTGCTTAATCAGTTAGTTATTTCTAAAAATTATGGATCATGATTTACCAAACTAAAATGAGATACAAATTATGAGCTCCCAATTGATCTAGTACCTCGGAACATCCACGGCTCATAGCTTCAATACCAACTGATCCAGTACCACTATACAAGTCTAACCAACGACCAGGCCTTAAAGATGCGGGACAGCCACCAGCAGCCTGCATGCATTTTCAAAGTACATTATACTTTTCCCATTTTTTCGTTGCAGGATAGCTACCAGCAAGCTACCCAAGTATGAATAGATAAAATTTTTTGTTTTAGAATGAGCTCTGGAACTAGAAATATACGAATCTTTAATCAATTGATAAGTTAGCAGAATGATCAGTTAATGTGATAGCAGCTAATATTTAACATTCAACTCCAACCTGCAAAATATCAAAAGCTGCACCTTTCACAACTTCCATCATTGGTCGTACATCCAGGCCCTTTGGTGAGAGTAGCTTCATTCTTCGAGCACTTCCCCCAAGCACCTGAGGTAGCCAACATAGCGGTCGAATTGTTATTGAAAGGAAAACAAGGAATCTTACAAATATTGCTACAGATCTAAAGAGAGTTTTTGTTCATACCCACCATCATACGAAAAGTTCTGTTACCAAAAGACTTTCAGAATCAAACTACACAATATTTCTCTCCCTTCGCTCCATTTGGAAATTTTGATATCAATGTTACGAAATCACAGCTTAAGGATGCCTCATCTTGTTCCCAGCACAAAGCACCAAACAAAATGCAAAAAGGAAGAACACTCGAACCTGAAGTAACTTATGGGTCTCCCGTTGAGGTTTAGGATCCCCGGCTGAAATCTGCTTGCCTTTCCCCGATTTTGGCACTTCTCTTCTTCGCTATAAGGCAAATCCACGATCGAATATATTAAAAAGCAGCTCGAACGAAGAAAGTTAAGCATTACCAAATACCCAAACACTCAATGTCGTAGCCGGTAAAATAAATTGCACGATTCAAACAGCAGCTAATAATCCAATGTCACCGACAGTCACTCATCTCAAAATTATTCTGGTTCGAAAAGAAATTAAAGTAAACAGCCATTATAGAGAGAGAAGAGAACCAACATTAGTAGAAGGTTCAGATAAAAACTCGTCGGGGTCAAGTCCATATTGCTCCAATAACTTCTTCCTTCGGTCCGTCACCGCTTCACTCCCAGATTCTGAAACCAATACACAATTGAAAGTTAAATTATAGCAAAATGTAAAGGATACAACAAAATCCTTTATCCACTTTCTCCGACATGGCATAATAAAAACTCACTGTACGAGCAAACGATAGTAGAAGACGACTGATGAGCGCTCAGTCTGGAACAGATATTGACGAGTGGAAGATTCAGAGAATACAAGCTAACGTCCGCAGAGATATTAGCACTGGCGCTCAATGAAGAAAGAACCGGGAACGAAGAAACCGCCATCAATGCAGCTTAGCGCTAAACTTCGGATAGCTCTACAAAATTAGAGGGAAAAAAAAATATTCGTCGTCCTATCAACTTAACACACCAGTAACTAAAATCAATGGGCCAGGCCCAATAACTGGTGCCTATAATTCAATAGCCCATTTAAGTTAAATTCGGGCCATCACCACAATATGAATATCAATGGGTCGGGCCGAATAACTCGGGCTCATAGTTTTTCAGCCAGCCCAATGTATTATATTAGGGCCTTCCCCACAAAATCCTGCTACGTGAAGACTAGAAGGGATAGCTACAAAACTAAAGATAGTTCCGTAAAGTTCTCATTTCCTGTTCGTATTTTAATAAAGTGGTCTGCAATAGCATAAAATGATATTTTTATTTATATTTGGGAATAAATTAGAAATGAGAATAATAAATAATAAACTTAATTTTTGTTGTTTCCAAAATTTCTATACACTCTCCAGAATATTTCTAAAAAATACGAACAAAAAATATAAATAATTGTTAAATATTAGTTTTCTTAATAAATAAATAATAAATAGGGACGTTACCAAACAGACACTAAACTTCTCTAATATAAATTACATATTTTTCTCACTTAGGTAACTTAATTTATCCTTTAAATTTATGTTAGCTTAAAGTACAATGTTAAATAAAATATTAACATTCACCTAAAAATGATATAATTGAAAAATATTAAGACATGAGAGATATAAATTACATATTTTTCTCACTTAGGTAACTTAATTTATCCTTTAAATTTATGTTAGGTTAAAGTACAATGTTAAATAAAATATTAACATTCACCTGAAAAATGATATAATTGAAAAATAGTAAGACATGAGAGATTATATTTAAACTTTTAAATAACAGGGAAGACTAAAATATATTTTTATCCACAAATCAATTAAAAAATATTTTTGCAGGAAAAATAAAAATTTGGACGATTAATGTAGGTTAGCTAATTATTATCATGTTACAATTATTAATATATGAGTTACTGTTATGATAACCAATGTCAGTATAGTTCATCACTGTAGTTATTCCCTTTAGGTCAGAGATTCGATCTCCCATATCTCTAAATTATTGGAGTAAAAAAAGTTATTAATGGTAGCCAAGGTTAATTATGAATTTATGTTATATCATTTGTTGATTATTAAAGTTAGTTCATTTATTAATAAATTCTAAAAAATGAAATATAATTTATTTTAGGAAAATTTATACTCATTAATATTTTCGAACACCAGAATAGGTTATATTCGTTGTACCAAAAAACATACTCATAAATATTTTAGAAAATTGGGCTGTAAATTCAAATTTCAAAAGAAAAGATTATAATAAATAAATAAACAAACAGATCTTTGAAAAATCAAAGACAACGTGTTAAAGAAAGCCGCGGGAAGGGGTGACACGTGGCAGAAGAATTATTGTTTAAAAGAGATCAGGGCCGTTGGATCGCAATCAAGTAGTGGCCGCGTGGGACCCAAGGAAGAGTAACGCAACCGTGATGACTAATAATTGTGGAACGAAGTGAAACAATGGATTGCGTCAGGGATTCGTCGACATCGCCGAGCTACGAAACCAAAACGAAATCCACTGCAACTCCGAGCGCAGCAACTGCATTGTGTTTCTCCGAAGTTTCTCCGTCCGATCTGTGGATCCGAGCTCGGAGAGAGGAAGGAGGAACCCGCCGGCACCGGAGAATGGGGCTCTGCATCTCGAAGCCGGAGGGTCGCGCCCGAGGGAGATTGGTTTCGTCGGGAAAGAGGAATCGGAGGCGGAGAAGAAGGAGTATCAAGCGGCGGCCGTCCTCTCAGAGGCTTGATTCGTCTTCTGCACCCAATCGTCCTCATTCTACTCCTACATGTGCAGGTTTTTACATGCACTTTCCCTTTTCTCTACTTTTTAACTTTCTTGTCTTTATCTCTTTTTCTTTCTTTCTTTTTTTAAATCGTGGATTCTTTTTATGGTTGGCGATCGGATTTGGTGCATGTTCTTCAGCAGCCTGTCAGATATTAGCTGCATTATGTGATGATTAGTAGTTTTTTTTTGTACGAGTCTTCGGGAAAATTAATTGATCTGTTTTCCCATTTTTCATGTTATTTGATCTAGCTAGAGGAAGTGTCGATGCGGCATGGTTTGATTCTACTTCAGTCCTTGATTCAGAATTGGACGACGAGTTTTATAGCGTTCGTGATGGTAGGTTTGCCTAATTTTCTTCAAATTAATGATTAGTGAATCTTTATTGCAAGGATACATATGATTTGGAGTATGCTCAGCTACTTTCATGCTCTACCAAATAAATCAGAATATCACTAATGTAATTACAAATAAATGCAGATGTGTTGTCTCTGAACGGCTCTGAGTTCGCATCCAGATTAAGTGTTTCTTCTCCAAAGCATCGAAACACCAAGGAACATAATGAAAATAATGTGTCAAATCTTGCTAAGAGATCTAGTGATTGCAGAAATGATTTGACCCCCATTTTTGTGGATGAAGTTTCCACAGAGGGTGAAAATGGTAAAGGAGGCGGCGAGACTGCTGAGTTGAATCACTGCGGGCTTCTACCAAATACTTGCTTGCCCTATCTTGCTGCTGCTGGACCCTCGCTTGAAAGAAAGAGACAAATCAACCAAGGAACCCCAAGTCTAAGGAGAAGAGCATCTTCAAAACTCTCATTTAAATTGAAGGAGGGGCACAATGATCAGATGATATGTGAGTGCTTCCACTTGTTTCTTCACGTCCATAGATTTTCTCTTGTGCGTTCCCAACTGTATAATTGTATGAGTATTGAAATTACCAATGCTATAATTTGGAACCATTGAGCCTTGTGTAAAATATGTGTTAATTTTTTTGCCAGTTTCACCAAGGGCACCTTTACAAAGACCAATAGCTGGCATTTCAGTTCCTCACTGTCCAATAGAGAAGAGAATGCCTAATTGTTGGTCGCCTATTGATCCCAATGTTTTCAAAGTCCGAGGGAAAAATTATTTTAGGTGAGCCCATTATGTTGTAGTTATTTCTACGTCTTTTCATTTCCCTTTTAAGTCAATTTTACAGATACTATAATGGTATTCTAATAATATCATAAGCACTTACAAAGTGAGGATACTATGTTCACGTTTTTTCTTTCTTTTCTCAATTGTATGTTTTGGTATTTGTTTACTCTCAGACTCCTAAGTCATGCTCTCATACAATTTACTCATGTTTAGTTCAGTAGCTTTCTGTTTACCTGTGAGTCTAAATTTATAACTAAATCCACTAAATTTTTTTCTTGACAGGGATAAGAAGAAAGAGTTTGCTCAAAATTGTGCTGCATTTTATCCCATTGGAGCTGATGTCTTCTTGTCTCAGAGAAAAATTGATCATATTGCCCGTTTTGTGGAACTTCCTGCCATAAATCCAGCTGGAGATGTCCCTTCTATTCTTGTAGTGAATGTTCAGGTGTCTACATTTTTCACTAGTATTCCTTTCCTTGATGTCTATGTTACCATTCAGTATTCCTTCCCTTGTTCTCATTTTGGTCTAAAATCTCAACCACGCTAGACAGTATTTCACTAGCAATTTGAACTTGGCATTTACCAAGTATGTGGTAGCACTTAAGAACTACAAATTTTCATTATGTTTGTAGCTATCTTCATATCATGTATATATGTTAGGAGATGCTTTGCTGTTTGTTTAGCTCGTAAGGCATAATGAGATTAATTTAGTTATTGGATATATTTCATTGGTTCTAGGTACCCTTGTATCCTGCTACAATCTTTCAAGGAGAAAATGATGGTGAAGGAATGAGTTTGGTCATGTACTTTAAGCTATCTGAGACTTATTCGAAGGAGCTTCCAAATTCTTTCCAAGAACATTTTACTGTAAGTTATCTGAAAGAAACTGTATGCTTACAGTTTTCTCTTATATTTTTCTGGCTATATACTGATATATTTCCTGGATCTTGTCCTTGAAAGCTTTTTATAGTAATTCTCATATATTCGACTTTCTTGTTCTCATTCTGGAAAAATAATTTTTGAAAGAATTACACATTACGTTATTGTAATTGGTTTTTTTTCCTCTACAGAAATTAATTAATGATGAGGTCGAAAGGGTTAGAGGTTTCCCTCTGGATAGCATTGTACCATTTAGGGAAAGATTGAAAATTATGGGCAGAGTGGTAAATGTGGAGGACCTTCATTTGAGTGCAGCTGAAAAGAAGCTTATGAATGCTTACAATGAAAAACCTGTCCTTTCACGACCTCAACATGAGTTTTACTTGGTAAGCATTGCTCTTAGCTATGAGATGTTTTGCTATGTACATGGTTGTTGCTGCAATAGATGACCTTTTAGTTTTATTAGCTCGTATGATAAGCATCCTCCACCCCCACTTCCCTCCCAAGACAGTATAGTTTTATTAGCTCGTATGATAAGCATCCTCCACCCCCACTACTATTTTTTAGCAGGAAAAAGAAAATATTTGTTTTCAGCAGGAAAAAGAAAAGCTGGGTTTTGTGCTAAGGTGGGAAGAAATGTTTCTACGTAGTTGGCGCTAGTGCCATAGATCACTTTTTAGCTCTATTAGTTATCGTGATTTCTAAAATGAACACCCATCCCTTAGGGAAGCTCAAGTCGCTTATAACTTACGCTACTATTACCTTTTTACTGCCAGATTATTTGTTTTTAGAAGGAAAAAGAAAATAAGGGTTCTGTGCTAGTGTGGGGAGGGGATAAGAGCTGTTTCATTCATTTAGTTGTTAGATTCAAACCAAAATAGCAAGATATTTCTTATGATTAAATAATCATTGAGATAGGAGGAACCCTAAGGAAGTCATTTTACTGATTTTCGTGTATTTATCCCAGTAGATCAAATGTGGATCACTTGGTAAATGCATTTTTTCCTTGGGAAAAATAAAATAAGCTGGGGTGTTATTCCGTGCTTGCCTGGGGAAGAAAAATAAGATGGCAGTACGTCTCTTCTAATAAAAAATAATAATAATAATTATGCAATCTTTTCTTGGGAAGGAAAAGTGGATATTGGAGGTTTTTTGTGTTCTGAATCTTACGTGCCAATCTTATCCTCAACTTCTGAACTTTATTTTCCCACTTATTTGCCCGACTTTTTTTTTCTCCCTTTCCTTGTTATTGTGTCTAGTTTAGTGTTTAAAATGCTGAAGCCACGCAGGAAAGTTTCACTTTTGTTTTAAGTGGCTGCAAAATTTGTCCTTTTTGAGTAAAAAGGCATGAATCTAACATAAAAGTGATGTTCTATTGGGTTTAGCTTAGAACAATTAAAGTTTCTTTCTGACCTTTTTTTGGTAAGGTCGTGATAATTTAATAGGAATTCCGCACTAAATTCTATACGAAGCACATTATCTAGTATTTCCTTACATTACAATATTTACAAAGAAATCTTCTCTATCATCCTCTTTTTTCAAAAAAGAAAAAGGTGTCTCAGTAAAAAAATAACTGGTCCATTATGGGGCGATATCAGATACATTCTTACTTCTTTTAGAATCATATCCTGCAGGGGGAGAAGTACTTGGAAATCGATTTGGATATGCACAGATTTAGCTACATCTCAAGAAAAGGTTTCGAAACGTTTAACGACAGACTGAAGCTATGTATCTTGGATTTTGGCTTGACCATTCAGGTAACAAATAGTGTTAATCCTCTCTCAAGAAAGGATATGGTTTCTTACAATCCTTATTTGCTAATATGCTGTGTTGTAACTTCAAACAGGGAAACAAGACAGAAGACTTGCCAGAACACATGTTATGTTGCATTCGACTAAACGAAATCAATTACTCTAATTATCAGTCATTAGGTTGTTAAGTGCAGCAAGATCGTCAGCTATTGATTGATTTCAGAGAGGGAGGCCCAGAAATAAACGCAGTGCTGTTCAGTAAATATAAGGTTAGCAACAACAACAAAAAATAAAAGCATCGTCCATATTGTAACTCATTTTGGCACAAACATAATGTATACTGCTATATTCAGTGTGTAGATCTTGTACAACGATTCTTTGTCCCTTTTAGTTCTGTTAACGATAGGTAATTCTTAGATACAGAATTTGATAAATACAAACAGAAAAAAAAAAAAAAAGGTCCAAGTGCCATTTTTCTTGTTTCTGTTAACATTACAGAATTGTAAGTTTCTGAATTGAAAATGAAATCATTGGTTTATTTGGGGTCTCTGAAATTTTGGGTAATCTATTCACATATTATTGAAATGTTTGTGAATCGGAAGATTTTAGACAATTTTTCCAGGAGCATCACTTCAATATTTCTATCGACATGACATCGATATTTTAATCCTCAAGTTAATGGCTACTTTATATATCTACTAAGTTAAGGGCTAACATACTACAAGAATCATTTAGTATATATTTTTGAGATTAAAGTGTCATTTTATAAATTTTAGAGACTGAAGTATCGTTTTTCGATCTCGAGATGAAAAATATACCTTGTTGGGAATAAAATTCGGTTTTAGAAAGTGGAGAATATTTTTCAATAGAATCGCAATAACAGAACCTTCAACATTTCAGTTTGCTTCTGATAATCTGATGATTATAATGTTAATTTAATTCCAATTCTCTAATCGTCTATTACTGTGCAAAAACGACTTCACCTTGGAAGTTGGTTGAATTTGAACAACCCATTTTTCCTCCAACAATTTCATTTACGATTCTATTCTGTTCAACATATTTGAATTCAGTGGCCAAATTGGACGAATTCAAACCTTATGAAAAATACCACCGACAGAATTCAAGTCAAAAGTTACAGCACAAGGAACTGAAATTCTGAGCAAGATGCCAAAAAGATTATGCATTGTGCTGGTTTAATATTCCTCTTTGGAATTCTTCTTCAGATGTGGAACTCCTATCCTAAAATACCAACTTTTGATCCACAATTTAGATACCATCCTTCAAGCAAAATATCGAGATCTCGTAAAATATTGACCGTCGTCATAGATATTTACGATAAAATTATAAATAATTCGTAAAAAGATCTTCACGTTTCTAATTATTTAGGTTCATCCTTACCTTAGTGATAAGTTTGTCGATATTATTTTTGTATATCTCAATATTTTCATTATGTTTTGTTAACATTTCTATAGGTATTTAAAAAAATATTTATGGAGCCCATATTATGAATGTTGATGAATATGTTGAACGCGAGTACGGATAATTGAAATAGATCCAAATTTTACCCCAATTAGATAATGATTCAAAGGCAGCGTAACTATGAAATTCTAGAATCCAATATTACAAAATAGAAGCAGAACAATGGAGATTTTAAGAGAGAAAATATTAAGAAATTGACCCTAAATGGCAGGAGAGCCCATGCAACGTCCAAAAATGGAAGAAAGAGAGCATCTTTGAGCCCTTTCTTGGGGAGGAGATGATGAATTTGGCAAACCAGACTCCGGAGTCGTATTTTCTGTCAATTTTGCATCTCCATTTCTTTCCGGGGTCGGAAGGTGCAGTTCTTGGCTCATCAGGGATGGCGAGGTCGGGCTCGGTACAGTACTTTTCGGCTCGAGTACTCGGAGATGGTCGTCCCAAATAAGGCCGGAGGAGCCTTGCCTTCGGAAGGAGATTGATGATCTCTGCAATGTTGTCATGGATAATCTGTAGTTTTGATGTGTGTTTGATTTATTTTCCTTCTCTCTAATTGAGAGCTTCTTTATTTAATTTGTGAAGAAAAGGGTCCATTTTTAACTGACATAACGGTTCTCTTTGTGGGGTTATTTGGTTGGTGTTGCTTGTGGTGAGCACTTCATTGAAATGAACTCAAATTTGGTAAAAAGGATGAGGATTGGTTGCATCACCCAAAAATTTTGGTTCTCTCGTGGATTCAGTTTCGTTTGGTAGTTTTTGAGTGTTTTATTGGTTAAAATTCATCGTTCGTAGGGAAGAAAAAGAAAAACAATAAAATTACAAATTGTGAAGTATCATTTTTTAAGCCAATGGCAAAGTGGCACATCATTTAATAAAGACATTAATTGAATTTTACATATTTTTATTTAATCCAAATATATTACTTGGGTCTTTTTCAGGACTATTTTGTGACATTACAATTTCGTATTGTTGTAAACTTGTGGATATTCAAAAAAAAAAAAAATTGCTCCTTCATATAAACCGTAAGCGTCAGAAACATTCTCAATTCTTATTTCTCATTTTTAGTTTTATAGAAAATCTAAATATTTGACAACTATTTTTTTCTTGTTCCTCATTTTTTTATAGAAATTTTAGAAATAACAAAAACAAGTTTCTTGTTCCAAGATAAATAAAAGATAAAACTTGTTTCTTGTTTTCTAATTTGTTCCAACATAAATAAAAGATATTGTTTTATCATTTTTGTATTCATGTATGTTGATCATACTTATCTTTATTAATGTGGAGGAAACAAATACAAGAAACAAAATATTCCCAAACACACACTAAATTTTTAAATTATTAGAAGTCATACAAAAGTTTTGTTTTCCACAAGTGATTTTTATCATGAATGTCACATAAGAATTTAAAAGATGTATAAATAAATTTTAAATATTTTATTTAAAAAAGAAAACTAACTATTTTTCATTTTCCTAAATATAAAATAACACAAAATCAGAAGTCCATAAATGATGTTTATTTCTCACTCAACAAACAAAATTATGATACCAGTACTTGAATATCTTGTCACAAAGAGGAGATTGGTATTGATATAAAGTTTTATTGCATACTTCAAGAAGGGACAGAAATATATAATTGTAAACTTAAGTGAAAAAGTTGACAAATAAGTCACCCTTCTCACTCAATACTCAATAGTATATATGAGATTACAGAGAATTTTCTCATTGTGTTTCATTTCACCAAATGAAACATTTGGCTAATTGCTACTACAAGTTTTAATCTTAGAGATGAATACCCACTTGTATACCAAGGTACTGCCCAATGTTATATACACCACAGCCATTAGGGAATCAACACTCACCCTTGGCAAAACAAGAGAGAGAGAGAGAGAGAGAGAGAGAGAGAGAGAGAGAGATATGTGGAATTTTTCCTAGTTTTAGCTTTTAGGTTTAACAGGCTTGGCAACTCTTCCTACAGTATCCTAAAGCACTTTCAGAACCCACCATGTAAGTAGGGTTCTTTTTGCACTCACCCCTTTTGGCCCATGAAGCGCAATTTTCGTTCTCATCAACGCAATCTAGACGACGACTTGGGCGAGTTGGCTTCTCGAAGGATCTCACATGAATCCATTTGGTTGCAGACCATTTCTCGCCCTCAATCACGGGGCAACTGCCGTGCAAGCTTTTGACATCTGTTGTTGCATCGAGATGGAGACTGAAGAACAGCAATGCATCACCCTTCTTCGCTTTAACTGCAACCAACAGCCAAGTTGTAGAACCATAAAGAATGTATAATTCAATCCCAGAAGCTTGGAAAGATGGACGACAAAAATAGAACAGAGTCATCATAATGAAAATTATAGAAAAGAGAGTTCTATTTATGTGATTGTTTAGATATAAACATCAATGCAATATTTTCCTCTTTTTTTTTCCTATTATTTTCTAATTAAGAACTAGAAATACTCCTTACTGGGCATGCCTTGCCATAGTAATGGCGTCTAGATACGCCTTCTAAAACGTTTAGAAGCCTCGCGAACCTCCCAAACTAATTGCACAACTAAAATTTTTTTAAGCCAGACTATATACCGAATAGACTATAATGATGTACGCAAGCATCTCATGGAAAGGCAAAACTCTCATAACAGAGGGTCAAATGTATCCGAAGATTGAAAAACAATACAGATACTTATTCTCAAGTTGGCTCTCAATAAGGTATTTTAACCGGTAAAGAGCACCCTTTATCAAAGCCCAGGAATGAAGATCAAGTTCAGAAAGATGTTTTCAGGGAAGGTCTAGCAATGATAGATAGGCCATCCGAGGCCTCTTCTGAGTTTGAAATGTAAATTAATACATTGATGACTTATAATCTATACTCATAATAACACATAAAAAACAATTACCTACCTGCATAACCCTTACGAGCGCAATCAGACCAGCTGTCATCCTTTTCTTGAGATTCTTTAAACTGCAGAAGACAAAGTAATAAAAATTGAAATGTGTGGATATAATTTGTTTCCATTTTTTGCAAAATAAAAGCAGACAGAATTTTCAGAACTGCTGCCATACCTCTGAATTTGGAAAGATGGTTTCTCCACCCTTTTCAACATTGGATAAATACATCAAGACTGTGGCTACTCGGTGGCCACCTAACTCCTGGTTCACCTTGTCGTGAAAATAATCAAAATGTGGTTCATACTTCTGACCATTCTCATAGTGCAGAATTTGAATGGACTCTCCATTTTCTGATATTAACAACAGTTTTAAGAAAGTTAAGTGTGGTAGCTTTATAATCTTAAAAAGATAATGAACATCAATGACAATGAGCACACAGCAAACATACCTGCTGGAAGGAATGTCCATGCAGCAATCCTGGCCTCAACGGCAGCAACTATTTCATCCTTCAAAGCACAAAACAAATCATATACATCATAATTAAGCTTCAAAGCGAATTGAGGGGTAAGCCATGATTTAAAGATCGAATTATTGATATGTCAATAAAGTATTGCTAAACATAATAATCATATAAAATAAAATAAAATATACTCATGTCTATCAACAGTCACTTTCTTAAATAAATATTCTAAAGATCATTCTCAGTATCATCAATTATTATCATTACTAGGATCAACTTATTCTTTACATTTTGTCATCCATGTTTCATTAAACTTGGTGGCAAAAGTAGTAATGGGATAATTTACAAACTTGCAGTGTATTGCATTAACTACATAACTGAACTTCTATATTTTAAAATAATATAACAAATTAGTATTACTCTTCAAGACTTGAAACCTCAATACATCTTCTACTGAAGTTTATTTACGAAGGAAATTCTGTTCACTAGAAACAAACAAAAACCAGGTCCTCAAACACCTGAGTATCAACAATAATCAACTGTCACCCTACCAATCTTCAAAATGGAAATCTGCTGGTTTTGTCAATGATCTCTCCCGTAACAGGATCATACTTGTAGAGGAAAAATTGGGGAAATTAACATCAGGATTAAGCCCATTTCAAGGGAAGAAATCAAGGATGTTCATGTTGCCAACAGTATCATTGACAAGCTGAAACAGTATGGATGATGATAAGAGGAGAGGGCAGATAGATCCTCCCTCATGAAATATAAAGGGATATTGTTGACAACATGTCAATAAATTGGAATGTTGATTGATTCTCCCCCAAAACGATGCTCCAACATGACATAGGGTCAAATCAGACTGGGGCAATGACTAGACTCCAAAAATTAAACAATTTTCTCACTTATATTAAAACATACCTTTCTTACTATATAAACATATATTGATATCAAATATCACTTATGCTACAAAAAAACATACTATTCACTATCATTCATGACTTGTAATGTGGTCGGCCTAAAAAGTAGTATTCAAGAAAATTCTTGAATTCAAATAATTCATATGAGTTCACACAGTTTACCTAAGAAGTTGTTTTCTTAGAATGTAGATCAACACCAAGATATTAGATAACATGTCCATAATTCCATATACTGACATCTACGACTACATTTTCATTCTCACCTAATTTTACAAACACATACCATGACATATAATCTTTAACATACATAATCACAAAATAATTAAACCATGACTCCGACATTATAATGCTCCAGGCGCTGTAATTTACAAAGCGTAATAATAAATCTAACAAGTTCAACACAAAAAGATGATTCAGATGAACTGACACACCTGGGCCTTGTGAAGGAACATGCCAGAACTCGTCCGGACTTCACTACTTACACTCTTACCAGAATTATTATCTGCTACCATTGACTTCTCCAATTTATCCTTGGCCTATTCCAAAAATAACAGAACCAAACCAACATATATAAATACCCACAAAACTAAAATCTAGACTAAAACAAACAATCCGTTCCTTGCTTCACTCACCAGATCGATTAGATGGTCACATTCCTTATCAGATAAAAATCCCTTATACAAAAATGCCCTGTAGATAAATACTTTTTGAGAAGAATATAAAGAAACAAATCGCCAATTAAGTATATCGTTAAAAACTAAGTGATAGAAAATGTGGTTGACTCATAATCAAGCAATATACGAGAGATGAAAGGAACGTCAAATTAGATCCCCTAAGGAAACAGTAATGACCTGGGTTGCCAGGAGAGCTGAGTGACTCGTGTTGGATCGAAAATGAGCGGAGAGGGTTCCCCCTTCAATCGAAGTACAGATCCACTTCTGAAATCCGAAAACAATCGAATCCAAAACCATGAATCAGTCGATGCGTGAAACAAAAATGGAGAAGAACGAGAAGAAGAAGAAGAAGACGAAAAGGATCATACATTTTCTTGTGCGCGCGCATGTCCGGCAAGCGAGCCAAGGCAGTGAACACGAAGAGAAAACAAAGAGAAAATGAGAGGAACCGCGGGGAATCCATGAGCCAGGCGTCGTTCCTCCGATATCAAATCGGAGAAGGAAAGAAATAAACTGAAATTGAAGGGAAAGGAAAAACAGATGGATTTGAATTTATGAGGAAATTCAACTGTCAAAGACAATGAAGGAGAATCAGTGGGGTGTTGATCCAATTCAAACTCGGAAAGTTTTTTGGGTTTTTCTCTCACGATTTAACCACATTCAGAAACTTGCAATATGTTCTCTCTTTCTCACCACGCACGATTTTGACTATTACAGAAACCCACCCCATTACCGTCAATCTTGTTTACAGTTCTTTTATTCCTAAATTATGAAAATTATATCTAATAAACCTATAATTTTTACTTTTTTTTTTTCCTTTTAAATGTCTAAATTGGCGTCCGAATTTGTTAAGTTTAACGGTGCCTAAATTTTAATAGCTTTTTAATACATTACAAACTATAATTTTTATATCGATGACCCATATAAATATAGTTTAGGGGTAATTGAGATCTACTCTTTTTTAAGGTTTGAGGTTATGTTATTAATTTTCTCTTTTTTGTACGGGATGAGAGATCAAACTCATAGTTTCTTGATTCTTGATTCAAGATATATGTTAATTATCGTTGAACTATATTCGCTTTAACAAAAATTATGTTCTTCGAAATAAGAAAAAAAAACAGAGAAATTATAATTATAGGTACGATAATTATTTTTCTAATAATGAAAATTATAATTTTTTGATTGAGAACATATATTTTAATCGGAGATGTTTTCTAATTAAAAAAAATGAGTTTTACTAGATAATTTCACCTTGACTTTTATCTCAATTTAACCAAAGTCTTTTGCGGGTTCTAGTTCACTAATAAAATTTGATCGTTACCATATATGAAATTTTTGAGGTAGAGAAATTATACTAAGTCAAACAATAAATAAAATATCATCTCAAAAAAAAAAGTCAAATAACAAATAAATAATATTCAATACAGTCCTGAATCCACAACAATTCACAGACCAAGTTGCGGACGTTAAGATATCAGTAACCAATAAGGAATAGTGTAATTTATTTATATTAAATAGCCTATGGCCTACAAACATTACTGCAAAATGGATTCCTCATTTTTACTTTGGTACAATCCCGATAATAAGACTAAACTATTGAGACTTAAAACATCATTTAAAATTTGAACCGCGATTATTAACACTAAATGGATCGATAATATTGAAGATAAATATATTATTATATATATAATTAAGAAAAATATACATATATGCATAAATTCGGATTGGATTGGGTTGACTGATTTTTTAAAGGTTGAACCCGAGACCCAACCTAATCCGATCGGGTTAGAAAAATCACAACCCAACCCAACCCAAAACTTCATCTAACCCAATCCAACCATTATGGTTTGGATTGGGTTCGTCGGATTGTCGAGTTTTTTGAACACTCTTAATTCTTATAAAGAAAGCTTTTAAATATTAAACTTTTGGTAACATGTGACTAAAACATAAAAAAGGGAAGAAAAAATTCTTCCCTATATTTTGCTCAAATTTCCCGGGTTAAATTAAACTACTAAAAAGTTTGTATCTAATAGTTTCTTAATTTTAAAAAGTATCTAATAGATGATTAACTTTAAGAATGTCGGATAAATTTTTTTAACATTAAAATTTGTGTTCAATCAATTCTCAACACATTCGAAATTTTTTTAAATTGGACCTATTAGACAACCATAAACTTTTAATTATATATCTAATAGATCCATGAACGCTAACAAAAATTCGGATAGGTTCTAGATGGTTGAAAATTTATAAATTTATTAAATACAAAATTGAAAATTCAAGAAAAAAAGTTCAACAGTGACCAGTTTGACACAAAATCTCTGACACTTTTTAAAGTTAGGGAGTCTATCCCTAAACTTATAATTCTAACTAATTTTTAATTTCCGCAGATTAAACTATAAAATTGAAAAAGTTGTAAAATCAATGCATTTTTCAAGATCTTATTTAACTAAAAACAAACCAATAAATCATCTAAAATTTTGACTGCAGTAGGAAAGTCAAATCCCAATCCATAAAATAAAATAGTCTAAAAATGCTCACCTGACTCCAAAACAAAAATATTCTAATCTAGCCATTATTAACACAATTTTAAAGTAATGAACATAGTTCTAACAGTAAAAAGCATATTTACTCGGTACTTTGATGAAGATGAACTATCAAATCTTCACACGCTACCTTCTATTACTACAAATACTAGCCGCCCAAAAAATAGTTGAATGGCATTTATAAAATGTTCACAATTCTTAAATGTCTGTTTTCATATTATCAACCAAACGGATAAAACCCAATTTACTAAACGGGGGAAACAAATAAACGCTGTATAAAAGGACGACAAAAAGGAAACAGATAGAGATAGCACAAACGACAAAAGAGGAATAAAAAAAGAAAAAATAAAATCAAACGAAATACGAAAGCATATGGTACAAGAAAAAGTGAAAGCCGTTCGTCCGCAAGGAAGTAGCCAAAGAAATGTCAAATTCTAGCCTGAAACTTTGAAGTTCTAAACATGTTTTTCACACACAACGTAACAAACCCTCTCAATTCAACAGAATATTGCAGGCCAAGTTCCAACCCGACCTCTTTCTTAATTATCTGACCCAGCAAACAAATTCTCAGAACTTCAACAAGAATTTTATTAGATTCGAAGAAGAAGAAGAAGAAGAAGAATAAGAAGAATGGCATTTGCAGAAATGTTTACCAGCGTTGGATCCATAATCGGCAGTTTGGTGTTCGTCTGGGCAATTTTCCAACAGTATTTCCCATTCGAGCTCCGCGCCTGCTTCGAGAAATACTCTCAGAAATTCGCCGGCTTCTTTTACCCCTACATTCAGATCACCTTCAATGAGTTCACCGGAGAGGGCTTCACCCGCAGCGAAGCTTACATCGCCATTCAAAATTACCTCACCAGAAACTCCTCCTCCCAAGCCAAGCGCCTCAAGGCCGATTCCCTCCACAACAACCACTCTCTCATCCTCACCATGGACGACCACGAACAAGTTGCAGAACAATTCAGCGGGGTGAAGCTATGGTGGTCATCTGGGAAACAAATTTCCCAGTCCCAGACCATCTCCTTCCACCCAGGGTCAGAGGAGAAGAAGTTTTTCATGCTCACTTTCCATAGAAGACACAGAGATCTCGTAATCGGGCAGTATTTGAACCACGTGATGAAAGAAGGGAAGGCGATAAAGGTGAAGAACAGGCAGCGGAAGCTATTCACGAACCAAGACGCCGATTGGAGCCACGTCGTGTTCGAACATCCGGCGACGTTCCGTACATTGGCGATGAAGCCGGAGAAGAAGAAGGAGATTATTGAAGACTTGATTGCGTTCAGCCAGGCGGAGGAATTTTACAAAGAAATCGGTAGGGCTTGGAAAAGGGGATATCTCCTGTACGGCCCCCCGGGAACTGGTAAATCGACGATGATAGCGGCCATGGCGAATCTTTTGGGCTACGACATTTACGACCTCGAATTGACTTCCGTCAAGAACAACATCGAATTGAGGAGATTGCTGACTGAAATTTCAAGCAAATCCGTCGTCGTGATCGAGGACATTGATTGTTCCCTCGATCTCACCGGGCAGAGAATGAAAAGGAACAACAGGGAACGAGGACGAGCAGAAACAGAAATGGATCCGATGATTAAAATGGCGATGAAGGAATTTAGCGATTCAAACCCTAGCGAAGTTACGCTTTCGGGGCTTCTGAACTTCATCGACGGGCTGTGGTCGGCGTGTGGAGGAGAAAGGCTAATCGTCTTCACCACGAACTATGTGGAGAAGCTGGATCCGGCGCTAATTCGGAAAGGGCGAATGGACAAGCTTATAGAAATGTCGTTCTGTGGATTCGAAGCGTTCAAAGTTCTTGCGAAGAACTATCTGAAGCTTGATTCGCATCCTCTGTTTTCGAAGATTGAGAAGCTCCTGGGCGAGACCAGAATAACTCCGGCGGATGTGGCGGAGCATTTGATGCCCAAGGCAGTTTCCGGTGACCCTAGGGTTTGTCTGGAGAGTCTGATCGAAGCTCTGGAAGAGCTTAAGGAAGAAGAGAGAGTGAAAGCGGAGCAGTACCAGAAAGAGAAGCAGGAACCGGCGGCTGAATTATGAACAACTTGCAGATCGTTTCGCTAACTATGGTTAAAAGGCTTTTTGAAGTTAAAATTATAAGAAAATTTTATTAAAATGTCACTTGTTCATAGTTCATACTACATTTTTTTTAATACGTGACAGAAAATTATCTCTCACATATCTGAGGATGAAATTTTGTGGCATTTACTAGCCTACTTTATTAAATTTTGTGTTCTCTTTGATGATTAAATTTTAATTGGTTATTATTATTATTATTATTATTTTTGTTTATGTAGTAAGAACCATTCATCATTCCTTTATAAAATTTGAAATAGAATATTTGTAGAGAAAATGAGGATATTAGTCATAAGCTAAATGTTATTTAATGGCTAAGGTTCCTATATATATTTTTTTTCAATCTCACACTTTCTCGCAACACGCTTCCACACTTTAATTTATGACCTATCTGTAAATGTAGCAATTACATTTAAATTTTAGTCATTTTTACCATTTTTAAGGTCCGTCGAATATATATACATATATATTTTTTTTTACGGCATGTTGGAAGGGGGATTTGAACTCTCAACAGGTATATGTCAATTACCGCTGAGTCATGCTCGTTTTGGTCCATCCAATATATCCTTAGTGAACACTCTTAGGTAAGAAGAAATGAAATCTAATAAATGATCTTTTATATGTTGCATTACATTTTTATGTGTCATGATCCAACGATAATTGATATATACCTTCAATCAAAAAGTCATGAATTTGATCTCTCACCTCTACATGTTGTATCAAAAAAAATTAAAAAATAAATATAATCTTAGATGTTGAAATGATCAAGTTGATATGAATGTACAATCTTTGATGTAATATCGAAAAATTAATTTAAAAATACATAATTTGTGTTCATCTTTGGTGTTTATTTATTTATCTTTAGTACAGCATATCTTCCGTGTTTATTTATATCACGAATTTCAGTATTTCGACAATATTAATTTAAGAAACGAAACATGACAGATGTTTGACTTGACTTTATAATATACTAAAAATTAAAAGAAGAGAAAATTATAAGATATTTGACCGACGACACGTCGTTTTAGTCTTATTACGTTTTACGTGGTTTCCTAGAAGCTACGTGCCGTCGTTGTGTGCGCCATCGTCATGCCAAACGGTGGGTCACGTGACTCACATAGCGTTTCTACTTCTTCAACTTATTTCCGCACCCACATTTAAGACTTGATTTTGCTTTGTCAAAAAGGAAGAAAGGGTAATTTAGTCAAAGTAACGGAAAAATATATAATACGCCATATTATATATATATATAAAATTTAATGTGGCAGTTTTCTAAGGAAAAAAAAGAGGGGGAAATTTATGTCAAAAAGGAAAAAAGCGGAAAATGATCGCTCTCATCTCCACCCACCCCTTCCCCTTAAACCGACATGCAGAAGTGGACAATATTGAATATTCAACAAATTTTTATTTTTATTTTTTAGTTTTGATGCTGATTTTTAGGCGAAATCCATGTAGATGCCGCTCGAGTATCACGTCCATAGAAATTTTACACCTACTTTAAGGTAGAATTCAAGTAGAGGCATTATGGATATAAAACAGAAATAATAATGAGACAGAAATCTCTGGACCTTTTATTGTTGAGTTAAGATCAAATTAGAAACAAAGTATCAAATTGTTCGTATGATATTTCGCTACGTCATTTTTAATGGTAGATTTTCTTTTTTATATCTGTTTATTGCCTCTTATATACTGCATAAGAAAATGTTCTTTTGTTAAATAATATATACCACAATTACAAAGTGAGAGTTCAAACCTACGATTCACTAAGAGACATGAAAATGTCCATACACCTCGTGTTAGCACATAAGAAAACTTTTTTTATGAAAGAAAAAATATTATTGACATACAGCAATGATATAGATTTTTGGAGAATTTTGACCTAATTATAAAAATTAAATTAAAAAATTTATGGACACTTAGAACCGTTATGACATCTTATTATTTTTTTAGAGTTAGAGCTTAGATCCCTAGTTCTTATATTTGTAATTAAAAAGGGAAAAAAATGTATGTAAGTAAACACAAATTTGAAGGGCTTTTTGAGTTTGGAATGGGAAAAGACGGACCGGGCTTTAAATTTGTTGTTGAAGAAGCCCAGAATGAGAATGAGTTAAAGGAGCCCAAAACGGGCCCAATTTGGACGAGGCCTACCCAGAAAAGCCTTCATTGACCAAAGGGTTAGTTTACATATATTTCGTTTACAAAAAATAAAATCTAAAATGTCCCTTTTTTTATCCCCATTAAAACTATATTTCAATAGAACTTTTTTTTTCTGAGAAAATATTTCAGTATCAGCAGACCAACCTATTTAAAAATTTATAAAATACACTTTTAATCATCTAAAAAGTTAAACAAAAATATGTCTAAATGAATAATTCTTTCAAAAACTGTTTACAGATAAAATATTTTTTTTTCCTAAATTTAAAAAACATTTTCTTTTTCCAAAGTTATTCGAAATGCACTCTATGACAATTTAAGACACAATTTGATGCAATTAAAATAGAATAAAATTACTTAATCTAATTATCAATCTAAGCACGATTCAAGTAGTCAAAATTTTGGTACCTTTTATGGTTGGTAGATATGAACTTTCCCCTCCTCGTCTGGAATGTAATATTTATAAGGAAAAAAAAAACATGTTTCCAAATGTCCAACAACAAAAATTCAAATCACAAAATACAAAAATAGAATCTCTGGCATCATATTAATATCCATGATTCATGGTGGCGTCATCATATCTATAGGGCCAACTTCACGTGATGGATCGATCACATGTGGAAGTTCGACTAGTAGAGTTGAGTCGACTCTTCCTCCAACTTAATCGAGGTGGCTCGACCTTCCTCTAGCTTAGTCGAAGCGAACCAACTTTTCCTTTACAATAAGATAATTCAAATATTTGTAGTAAAATATAGAGCAAATTTATCGAAAAATAATTTAAGGACATCAACTGCACACAATTAAATCCCTAACATTAAAAGGTTGCCATCCCTTATTTGCTTTTGTTTTACGTTTAAAGAAATCAAAGCGAGCCACAGTTTGCGATCTCTCCTGCGACACAAACTCCTCCACCTCTTGGATATTATCTCTATCACTTTGTTGCAAAATGATCCTCCAATCTCATTGGGTTTTAGGGTTGGAAATTATGTAATGTGAAAATGGTGTGCCGAGGGTTGAAGAATGCCAGCTAGGGAGTTTCCAAACAAACTCACCAATGTCCAATTGAGTAATTCCCTTTTTTTGGGGATAAGCTTGTTTTTTTGGAAGCCAGAAATCAATGGCATTAAATTAAATACTCAGCCCTCCCTGAACAACTTTATCAACACAGAGAGACCACTCCTGAACCAATTAGACGGCGAAATCCTCCGTGTAATTTAACTCAACTGCATGTAGACTTCTAGATGCATGGTAAATTTCTTAATTATGGTCTATTTTTCAAATCTTGTAGTACAGTTTAGACTATATATTATTGTTCCCATTATTCCCACAATGGTACGTCAAGAAAGCTGAGAAAATTCGCACGGTTGAGTAATTTCCTATTTGGGGGAAAAATGACTGTGGACACGTGGAAGACGCTCAGTAGAACGTGAGACTGGATAAAGGAAATCTCCCAGGACCACCTCGGCCCTCTCGTGGAGATCGAGTTTGCCTACATAAAAGGGCTAAGTGCAGGGGTCGAGGTACGACCTGTTTGGGGTCCGATCTGCTCGGAACCCGACAGGTCCGACATGAGAAAAGACAAATAACCGCCGGTCGTGAGTACTGTCGGACCCACCACCTATAAATAGAGGGTTTCATTTCACGCTCAGGTATGGAATCTCACCTCGAACTGAATACGGAGTCCGACCTATACTGACTTGAGCGGAGTATTTTACCCTCTTGCGTAGATCTACTCTAGTGATAGACCGGAGACCAGGTTCGAGCTTGATTCAAGGAATATCGTTGTGCAGATCTTTGCATAAACATTTCTCATTCGATAAGAATGCACCTTCTAAGTAAAACCCTAATATATTAATTAATATTATAATTATGAGAAGTTTACACGAACATGCTTCAACTTAACTATAAATAAAGAGGTCAGGTAGGGAAGAATATATCACAAATGATGAAGAGAGCAAATTAATATTTACGTTCAAGAAGTTGGAGAAATTCAGGAGAGATGGCACTCACTAGGCAATAATCTAGGCAAGATATATTAATTTGATTGTGTAGTCGGTGCCATCTTCTTGTGACGTGATGTCTGTGCAACTTATAATTTTATTATCTTTGCATTTGCATCGGTATTCCAATTATTTGATACGGTAATTGTATTATATTGTATATTGGTTAGATTTAATTTTGGGTCATGAGTCACTAGTTAATTGTTTATATACTGCAGGTTTCAAAATTTTGAGAAACGTGACAATTGTTTTTCATTCTATCGTATTGAAATTTTAGGAAATTTTAGGAAAATAAAGTCATGTTTCTCTTTCTGGTTCGGTTCTTGTTTCAAGTTTTTCTACCATATAAATATTATTATTATTTCATCATTTTTTATTTCGTTGTCGACCACCAACTTCACCGCCATGTGAGCACCCTCTCCTACAATGAGGAAAGGTGTAATTCTCCCTCTTTGTTGAGATAGGATTTGAATCTCAACCTTAAGATTTTGGATGTTCGCCTCAACTCCCATCCTCATCTCATCCCTTTTTAACTCCAACGTTAGTTCACTATTCATCTTCAATTCTTCAAATAAGGCGGAACTCATTTACGATAATATCTTAACCAATTAAATTATATTTATTTAATAAAAAGTTTTTTTAGTCTAACAAGAGATGGATAGAGAAGTAGAACTTGTAATCTTTGGTTAGATTGGATAGAGAAATAGAACTTAATAATATTTTGGTCAGAAAAAAAAACAATATAAAAAGTAACGTTGTATTGTTTGTAAAGTTGATGGGAATCTATATTATTTTTAATACGACAGAGTTTTAAATAGAAGAATTATTCGAAGTCTAGAACTAGAACTCGAATCAGCATTTAGCATTTAGTATTATGGGCATGAAGATTGCGGTGAGCTTTTATAGTGAACATCTCGTGAACCATGCCTTCCAAATTGGTCCACGACGACCCACCTTCCGCCATAGCTTTTTTAGACATGGCCGAAATCTCGCCG